GAGAGAGAGAGAGAGAGAGAGAGAGAGAGAGAGAGAGAGAGAGAGAAATCATTTTCTCATGCATAGTGTCATTTAATGTCATCTCAAGTTGGACTGTTATTTTGTTGAAGGGGCTGGGGCCGCTCCTGATGGTTGAAGTTACGTAGATGCTGAGGAAATGTCATGGCTGATAAATTGTGGTACCTCCAGGCACAAACTGGATGGACACAAAGATTCACCAAGGAAATGAGTGAGCATGAAGGAAAGGCTATATATAAAACAGCACATAGTATCTTTCCTTACACTAACACTGTTTTCTGATTTTCCATGGCCAGTCTCTACAGAGGGATAAAATGAGTGAAGCATACAGTGAAATCGGAAATAAAGGAGAGGTGAGCAATAATTATTCCCATTTTGGATACATAGAGATGCCATGGGGCTGCATGTAACCCTTGGTCTGTGCTGCTTCCCTACACTATGATAAACCTAAAGCAGTACTATCAAGTTACACATCAGAGAAGTCAAACTACCTGTTGCCCAATCAGTATTAATCGTTCTGTGAAACTTCAGTGGCTTGTCCTTGTAATTTATTGGCCCTTCAGGAGTAGCATCTGACCATACAGTATCTCCTTAAAAGAGCAAGGAGCCAGTCAAGGGAGGATGGTGCCATGAATGGGTCATAATTTGCACTAAAGAAATAGACCCTTGAAGGATTGAGCATCTGTTAATTCTGTGCTTCTCTTTTTGCAGAGGCGCCGTGGCAAAGGCAATGACGCTGTTTATCAGGTAAGGAACAGCAGTAGCAGCTTGCCTCCCTATACCTTACATGACTCTCACCCCATAAAAGTGACCTACCTGAAGAAGGCCCTTCTCCTGCCTTACCTCTGAGCCAATTCTGTGCATGCAGCAGACTGCTTGTCTCTGAGTGCATTCTGCCTCGTCTGATCACATTTGGATGAAAGGTGTGCAAATACCCATTTATTTAGCGAGTTTAACTGTTTTTAGGCCTCTATTTATTATAGAACAAAGCAGTATAAAATGAAAACAAAACCAAACTATGCCAGATCAGATAGAAAAGCCATAGTTATTCAATGGAAAATGCCAATAAAATCTGCTGCCCATAAATTATTGAAAGATCAAGGAAAATAGGGTCCTAGTCCTGAAATTTTTAGGTGCAAAGTTTGCCCTGCTCCTCTCCTGTGCATGCCTCCCACCTCTTCTGATGTGAGGGAGGAAGCAATTACTTGTGAGAAACTGAAGCAGGAAGAAGCAACAGAAGTTAATGCTATATGGGCATTGCACAATGGCAAAATTCCATTTGTCAGGCATGATGTGATCCACTTGATCAATCCGAAATGCATGCAGTTATGAAGATGGCTTGTCACAACCAGACTTTGTGGTAATGGAAGTTGCTGCCATATGTTGAAAAGAGAAAATGCATCCTTTGAGTTTGATACGATACAAAGTCTCCACTCATTTAGATGCTGAAAGGGTTGAAGTTTTTTTCTAAGAGTCCCAGACTGCCCTAAGAAAGGACAGGAAGACTGGTACAAGAACAGGAGTGGCAGCTTCAGCATGGACAGTATCTATCACAAGATAATAAGACATTTCAAAGCCTAGTGATTCAGTCACCCAGAATAATTGCTGTATGTACAGATATTTCTTCTCTATAGGAGATGGAGGAGATTGATTATCCATTCCTTGCTCCAGAGAAGAAGTAAAGGGTTGAACAGACTCCAGTTCAAAGGAATCCATAACCTTTGCATCGGACTGTGTGGGTGCTTCAAACAGTATCTTGTTTCTAGTCATAGTCCAAGGGACTAATGCCAAGGCAGACACTTCTGGGTCCTTTGGTTGTTCCAGTAGCTTCCTTTTCCAGGGTGTGGTTTGAGGGACTGCTGATGAGACAGATACTTGTGGTCAGAGGAAATACCATACGTAGTCCCTGTAGTGAGCTGGTAGAGAATCCCTTCTATGAGGAGATCTTCTGTCTCAGAAGTAAGGCGAGCCTGGGTTGCAGCATTCAAACACACAGACTTTCAAGGATGATTAAATATCTATTATTCCATTCTCTGAAGTCAACCTGGTAACATGAGCCTCCTTTGACACCATAGGGAATGCATACTGTACATCTGACTGAGCAAAGAGTAAAAGGCGGGTTACTAGGTATTGTGGTTAAACCTATTGGAGGGTAAGTCTTATCATGCAGTGTGGAAGGAATTGGCATCAGTTACTGGAATATGAACCTTCCTCCAGCAACTTGGACTTCTTGGGCTCTGTAGCCTGAACTGTAGAAGGATGCTTTATTTATTTATTTATTTATTTATTTATTTATTTATTTATTAAAACATTTTTATGCCGCCCCATTCGCCGAAGCCTCGGGGCGGCTTTGAAGAACATTTCATATTGGGTAGCCAGATGTTGGTGGAAAGTCAACCATTTGTGGATCTTGCTGACCTGATGGGTCTAACTGTGCTACATTTGTGATCGGGACCAGGGATGTGGTTGGATTTGGAACTGAAGGTTAGAATGGAACCAGTGAGGACAGTTCAGAAATAGGTGCTTGGGCCATTGTGAGGGCAGGTTTTGAGTACACGGAGAGCTGACAGTTTCATTGTTTCAGAGTTAGTCACCTGGAAGACTCATGCCCAAAGACTGTAAGAGACATGAGGAACAATTTTCTCATGCTTACTTGTGAAAAGTCTTGACAATATGAACACAACTTTATGACATGGCCACTACCCACACAAAAAGGCACAGATTGTGTCTGTCACTTGATGGTAGTTGCCTCTTGCAGTTGACACATTTAGATAAGGGCTCCTGCAGAGCCTTAGGCTGGCAATAGAAAAGATCACAAAGGCAGTAAACACAGTCATTAAATAAACAGAATAGTGATTTAGTACTAAAACAAACCTAGGGAGAGGGGTAGTTACTGGGTTTCAGTGCTAAAGAAGTAATTCAATACAGAAGACTCTCAACAATGCTGCTGCCATGGTAGTCAAAGAGAAGCTGAGGGGAAGGCTGTGTTCTGGCCATGCAGTGGGGTGGGCTTCCTGCCTAAAATGGGAGCCCTGGAAAATTCTGACTGAGGCTCTGCAGCTGCAGGATCTACATGTGTGATGCATGGAGATCATAAAGAACCAGTTTCCCCTACTTTGGGACAGGTAATAGATCTCCAGATGTTTTGGGCATCAGCTCCCCGCATTCCTATTGGTCAAACTTGCAGTGGTTTCCAGGCCCAAACATCTGGAAATCAAACTTTTGCCCTTAACATAAAAGAAGGCCAACTGTTAACCTGTTCTTTCCTGCATTTTGTAGACCAGAAGGTGGGCGACCTTTTTTTCTGTCAAGGGCTGTATTCCTTTGTAGGTGATTTTTGGGAGCCACGTATCCATCTGTTGTGAGCAGGGCTGAAGGTAGCTGTGGACAGGTCTACAGTAAAAAATGGATGAACCAGAACTTTTTCCTTTTTGCCACCCTTTTCTCATTCTCTTTCATCCCACTCAGTAGCTGCTAGGCGGATTAGTTTACTTCTGCCCAAAGTCTGAAGCAATTGCATTCAGGGGCTTCTGAATTAGGCTGAGGACCAATTGAAGGGCCACGTAGAGCTCCAGGACTAGAGCTTGCCCTCCTATTTTTATGGCCAAGACCTCAGACTGTAAATAGGAGGCAAAACATAACTTTACATGTAAGGTATTCATAACTGACCAGCAGCATTGTTCACAGAGGAGGACACTGGCTACATGCGTTACCCTTGCACACAGCATTCCGCTTTACATCCCCTTCTGACCCAATTAAGAGAAAAATAAAAGTCAGGGAGTATTCACATTCTCTTCTTCCTCCTCTTTCCGTTTTTGCTAATCATAACATATATTTTGCTCTGATTGTTAGTCACTCACCTGGTGCATTTTAGGCATGAACAAAGCCATCAAATATAGTGTTTGCGATTATTGACTGCCAGGTGCCTCAGTGGCAGAGCTACAGTGATGCATGTGGAATTGTTCTAGTCACAACACCTTTCTTTATCAGGGACTGAGTACAGCAACAAAGGACACATATGATGCCCTTCAAATGCAGCCAGTGCATACTCCTTACTAGCCATGGATGAAGACAGAAGCGGAACGATCCACAGGGAATGCTGGAAATATTGCCATTGTAGGTGATCCTTTAAGGAAGCCATTTCATTGCACAATTAATGCCATGGGCAGGAGCATAAAAACTAAGTTTCCTTTTTCCCACTAAATTCAAATTGTAGTTTAAAGTATATACATATCTGTAAAAAATTAGTCATTTGCTCAGATAAATTTGAAGAGCAGAAATTGTAATTGCCTTTTTTTTGGGGGGGGGGTGTTTGAGGAGTATTCAAAAATACGTAGAGTATGTTGCTCCTCTGTGGAAGGTGTCCCCTAATTGCAACTTTAGAGTCCCAGCAGGATAACTACCATCCTGAGTTAGATCCAGATATCATCCTACAGGAGCAGAAGCCACAATGCTCAGTTATCTTTTTTCTCATTATGTCGTTATGCCTCCAATGCTAGGATTCTGATCCAATATATTGAATTCTGAGAGTGTCAGGCTCTTCCATGACATATTGTTATTGTTTTTACTTGAAAGCCAGATTTCAATCCATCCGTGGTATGCTACTGCTTGCTCAAGTTTTTATAGAACTGCCCAAGCACTTCAACTGTTCTGCAAGCACATATGTGAATTCAACTCTTTGTTTTTACTGTGGATTTGGCAACATTACTGTAGAATATTTTTATTTGTAGGAGTTGTTGGGAAAATAATTATACTATCCTTGCATTTAAGAACATTCCACAGACAAGCCAGGAATAAATCCCCTGCAACGTAATTCAGCAACTGCTGTTCTCCAAATGTTTTGGGTTATAGCTCTCATCAGCACCAAACAGCACAGCCAGTTTATGTAGAGGCAACTCTTCCTGTACCTACTGCAAGTTACCCCTTAGTGTGTTTAGGAGAGCAGCCTGAAAGACTAGAAAATAAAATCTGCATCAGTTGTAAGAATGCTTCTGCCAGACAAACTCCTATGAGAATTATATTCCACTAATGCCTTCAATCTGTTTCCATCACCTATGAATACTTATGTGGGAGATCACTGGAAGATCTTTTATTCTTCTATGGAAGGCTGATAGACCCACAAGTGGTTCTTGTACAAGATGCAAGATTATTCTGACATGACTGTTGAGCTATTAATACAGTACAAAAGCAGAGATATTCTAGCCTTTGAGCTTCCGTAAGAATTCTCCTTACCGTGACTGTGTTTATTGTGTCAGCTTGTTGATGGACCATTTTCTTGTAAAGATAACTGACCGCTGTAGATATATTCTGAAAATAGTCATGCTTGGAAATACCACAGTGGAAATCAGGGGTTGCATGCCTGACTTGATGCTTAACCAAATCTATCTTTTCAAAATGCAACTCTGGATTTAAAACTGTGATACCCAGGATATTATGGAGAAATGTATTATTTGTATATTAAATGTATTATTTCTCCATCATAATGTATTATTGTTACCAAGAAATGTATTGTTGTTGTTTCTCTCTAAATGACTGAAACATGTTCTGTCTATTTTAAATAAAAGCTTCAAAAGTATACCTGACTTTCGGCCTCTTCTGCTCTTACACTAGATATGCGTTGTGCCTCCAAATCATGTACTGCAAAGTAAGATAGATAGATAATAAAAGGAGTTTGGTAGGAGCCCAGCCAGATGGCAGGATTTAACATTGAATATGGGGATACAGAACCCTCACCAGCTGGAACACTTGGTCCCATGACATCGTTATCCTTTATTCCCAAACCGGTTATTTAATAGTAACATTACATATGTGCCTGTGGGAGTAAATGCAATATTTTGACAAGGACCAAAAAAAAACAAACCAAAATGGGGAAACTGTTGAAGAAATAGATACTGTTATGCACATTTTTAAAGGGCCTGACCTGAAAATGTCAGTGTAAAAGTATTAATGTTATTATACTGCATCTTTCCTTCAGCCTGACTTCAAGAGTCCAAAAATGGGGAAAGCTGCAATGAGAAGCACTGAGATTTTCTTTACCAAGGTAACATAGAAGATGGTTGGCATATCAAGCTAAGTAGTTATGTGCTCGCTCACCCACTCACACCCACTCACACACACACACCACTAAACCATGCTACATGGAAACTACATGCTGTGGTAACTTACCTTGCGGTCTGGGTTCATACAGGCATGTGGTTTCCAGCCTCTGCTGTCTTCTGAATGATGGCATGTATGCCAACAGCCATCACAGCTGGATCAATCCCAAGGTACACTGCTCCTGCCTCTTTCTCATTGGCCCACATACTCCCATGGGCATGTCCTCAAGTCAGCTGCCTTTTTTTTTTTTTTTGGCTGCTCAGTGAAGCAACTGCTTATTCATCAGAGTAGCACTGTTGCTCAAGAGCAGCACTCCCCATTGCTGTGCTGCTTTGAGCCAACATACAAGCATACCCCTCGCCCACCTGTGCTGCACACATGTCCTTGTTCCTCCGTGCACAGTACTTGCACACATGGTTAGGGCACCTTCCTGCTCTGCAGCCAGGCACACAGAGGGCATCACCCCAGGGAGCCATGCCAGGGATGGAGGAAGTGTGTCTCAAACAATGAGGCGCCTGGGAACCAGAATTTTCAGACATTACAAAGGGAGACGTATAGGGGCTTATTTATTTCAAGGGCATTCTTCTCAGGTGTTCAGGCAAACAGCGAGATTAGTTCAGCTTTACAAGTGCAGGGAGGGGGTGGGGGAGAAGTCCTGCAGCCAGCTGTGATTTGGCATGGCTTTTGACTCTATGATGTGATGGCAGCAGAGATGGGCTGTTCAACTAGAGGGGTGATAGACAAAGAGACTTGTCCATCTCCAAGAAGTATAATTCAGAGGGAGGGCCCCAGGGGTACTCAAACGGAGAATGCTGAGAAGTAGTTGTTAGATTGGGTTCAACAAACCACTCTGTACATGCTCAGAGACTCTGTTGGCTGTGCTTACTGGAAGTGCATTGGAGAATAAAGAGCTTCTGCCAAAGAACAGTCTGTATCTTGAAAGTGCAGAGCGGATGGGCGGTGGGATGGGGGACCTGGCTTGTGACAGTGCAGCAACCAGGCAGGAGTGCCAGGCATGGCAATCCCACTGTTACTGCTGCTGGAGGTGGTGCAGTGTGATTTCCACTGCCAGTGCGAATCTGGTGGCAGCTGGGCATCTGAACAAAGCATGCAGACTGGGAAGAAAAAGAGCGTGCAGCAGCCGGAGTGTTGCTGCCTGCAAATAAGTAATGCAACAACTGTAGGCAGGGGCCTCTTGTAGCCATAGCCAGTCTTTCCATAAGCCTCTAGGACACAAATCGCAGGCAAGCATGCAAGCAAGCAAGCGATGGTGAAGCATGGAAACCATTCAGCAAGCCATTTTGTCTCTCCACACTTCCACAGAGGCCAAATGTACCACACTTCGCCATTGTTGCTGGCTCACACATAACAAGCCACATCCCCATGGCTTCCACCATGGCTTATCATTATGCATGAATCCACGTATGTGTATGAAAGAATTTCTGTACAAACATATGAAATGCATTTCCACATGTTTTAGACTTAAAGCAACTTCGGAGCTGGTGCTTTCAACATGTTTTGGTGTATAACTCTAAATATCTCCAAGCAGCATGGAATGATGGGAATTATATTCCAACATATTCAGAGGGCACCAGCTTGGGGAAGGCTGCTTTAAAGAAAGAAAATGTTCATGTGAAGATGGCGATAACGAAACTGAAAGGTTTTATATGTTTTGCTCAATGTGAAAATTGTATTCATGATCAACCAGGAAAAGGAAAGTATGATTTAAAAATAAGAAGAACCACCTTTCAGCCCTAAAGCGTTGACCTGAAGGTCATAAAAAGGCAAGGCATGCCATTTTCTTCTATCCATGGCTAGTTTTTGTTTAAAAACCACAAACAAGTGCCTACATGTTAAAACACTTGGAAAAATGGTTTAATGATGTTTACAACAGAAATGAACTGTACAATTACAGTAAGTTTTATATATATATATAAAAATTACAGCAGACAAATGCATCTACACAAAATCTACCATTTTCATCCTGATTCACTGTAATCTACACAGTCTCTCAATGCCCACAGCTACCTGCAGGTAGCCACCAGGAGGGGAAAAGTAGGTTTCTTTAAAGAGACAGCATCCCTTAGCGCTCCACTGTAGTGACACACCAAGTTCCAACTAGGGCCTTACAATTCTCAGATTCAAAGTTAGGCAAGAATGCTTCTTATGTGAATATATGTACCACAAGTACACATCAAAGTGCGCAAGGGACTTTTACCTGTACAAATGATTATGTAAGGAGAGTCTCAGCAAGAAAGATGCTAATTTGGAGACCAATGACAATAAAGCACAACAATCAATGCCCCAAGCACAGATTAATTTTTGGAAGAGAAAGGGCTTAAGGACTTTCTCCCACCACTCCAAATTGTTGCTTTGCTGGCAAGTTGCCTTTATTTTAAAAACAAAGAGCAGAAATTCATAGTTTAAGAACATACACAGCTTCTTTTAGTAAATAGCTATATTTTGCTTCTTGCCTCACCTTTGGATATGAATAGAAAATTGCTTCAGGAAAGGGCAAACTACAAGTTCACCCTTAGAAGCGTGCGGTCTCTTTAAAAAAAGAAAGAAAGAAAGAAAGAAAAGAATAAACATTTCCCTGTTGGGAATGGCAATCAGAGAAAATGCAATCTAAATTGACAATCTGGTGGAAATTACAGATTATGTACACTTTTTTCCCTCAATTATGAACACCTAGGCAGTGAAAACTGTTGTGTTAATACATACAGAGACACACCCAAAACATACAAAAATACTATTATTTCAAACTACTAAGAATAAGACAATTCAGTTATCTCCATGCTATGACTTTAAGAGCATTACACTGAAACAAACAAGAATTTAAACAACATTTTTAATATCCCAGAAATATACCAAAATATACATCTAAGCTTTGGAATTACTGAGGTTAGACTAATGCAAGTGCTGGGTAATTGTACTTAATACACAAGTCTAAGGTTCTGCAGGAAAGAAATTATCTTTGGTATCTGCATCAGGCTAATATTATTAACATTTGGATTTTGCTTTGGGATAGAGCTTGTATGACCCTAGAACCAAACACCCCCTAATCAACTGAGATTTAAAAGATCCATGTAAAAAGTTCCTTCATTGGCAACCCCCCTCCCCAAAGTTTAAAAAGTCATAGGCATCTACCTAGCACAAAAGGTTGAGAAATACAATGCATAGTTGCACAGTGGTGCTGCAAAAATAATGACCAAAAGAAAAGGAGAAAAGGAGAAACAAAACATTTTTTCAGAGATTTTTCACAACAGGACAGCCTCTTCCAAGCAGTGGCAGGGGGAAAAGCTAAGAAGTGCACCTCAGCATGTATTAATATCACCCAGCTCCCAAAGGGTTAAAAGCACCCATCAGAGCAGCCAATCATGCGCCAATGTCTTCAGCTTCACAATCAATCTGTGGAGTCCCATCATTTCTCCCATCCAACTCCCCTCCTCCCAATGGCAATGTGCCCTTTGGATTTATGGGGGTCAAAGAGATTTAGGTCCACAACAAATTAACACAGGATGAGATGAGATGTTGCTTGCTGGACAAATCCACATGGTCATGGTGCAGGACTGGGGAGGCAGAAACACAAGGGAGGCTTTTCTTCCACAACCTCAAGGGCTGGTTTCCCAGATATGATTGGTGCTGAAGACGCCCCTTTGTCTTTGGTTTGTTTGTTTGTTTTGAGTTTATACAATCATTAGGAAATCTTTGGTTTTGGCTGGAAAATTTTAAAAAGAACAAAACAAAACAAAGAAACCGCCCTCCTTAGCATATAGCAGTGCACTGTGACCTGGCAAAGCTTCTCTTTCCGAAAAAATGGGAGGAAACTACATTCAAAGAAAAACAGTGGAAGGAGTTGAACCGCAGATTCTGGTTAGCCTAAGAGGAGGAGTGGGAGGAATAAGATTGTCAAATAATAAAAGATGGACATTAAATAGAAGATGAGCAAGGCAAAAAGAAAAATAGCAGTGAGCAATATTTATGCATCACTTGGCTGAGATGAGCCTTTCTGGTCCTGCCTTGATCCTGGAATACATTGTAGCCGATATTTCAGCAGAGGGTTGAGGAAGGAGGAAGGCAGAGAATAGTTTCATGCACAGATGAGGGACCAGAGATGGAATTTGCAGACTACAAGAGGACCCCCGGTAACCAAAAGAAATAAAAGATTGCAATTTGCCCTCAGTTTGCAGTAGCCTTTAAGCAGCGACATTCAGAGGCTTTAGGGGGTCTCTCCCCAGGTTTCAGGTCACAGGATGCTATAGGCTAGAGTTCAACATTAACTAAGTGAGGGAGGGCAGACTTGACAACTCTGTAGGGTTTGGAAAAAGTTAAAGCAAGTTACTCAATTACGAGTTAGAAATGAGGTATACAACAGCTCCTGTACCTGTGGCGGATAAACATCCAACTCACACTACTCACACCTAGCCTTAGATTCTACCACAGAAGGAGGAAATGGAACAGCAAGATGGTAATCAG